TTTAGACCTGGGGCAGGCTTTGGGGCCTTGCTCTGAGCCAATCCCATTTGGATGGAGTTTTACCCTCGAGAGGAGGGGTAACTTTGGGTGCTTGATTTAGAAACTAGATTCTTTGCCTTTCCTGTATTGTTTCCTAGTTGTATTAAAGTTCCTTCCCATTAAAATCTCATATGTTTTGTGTTGATGCAGCGGATGGCAGAACCCATTTAGAGCAGGCAGGTTTGCAGGGTCTGGGCTGCCCCTCTCCCTGCCCTGTGACAGACTGAAGAAGCTAAAGCATAGTCTTGTGTAGTTTAAGAAAGTTATAGGTCATTGATGAACTTTAAGCAGGAAAATGACATATTCACACATATTTAAGAAATCATCCTGATTGCCATTGTGGACAATGAGTTAGAGGGGAGAGAAACCTGAAGAAGAATGACAAACTAGGGAGCAGTTGGAATAGTTAAAGACACCATGAGGGCTAACCTGAGATTATAGCAGTAAGGATATAGATGAATGACAGGCACAAAATGGGGATGACAATTTTAAAGCATAACTGTGAGCCAGCAGATAATGAAGTCTTTGGTTATTTATTCCCAAGAACGAATAAGGACAGCCTTGGAAATCAGTAAGATCAAGAGTAACCAGAGCAAAAATGATGGTGAGATAAGATGGTGCATTTCCTGGGCCTCCAGGTGTGTCAGGAACCATGATACCTAATGCCTTGTCCTATATACAGAGATGAACCTGTTCAAAGATGAGCAGCATCAGATGCCACAGAGCAAGGACAGACTACAACTGTACAGGACCCAGAGGGCCAGAAAGGAGGGACAATTCTCCTATAAAGTTGTCTCCATACTTTACTTTTCTAATCAATTGCGTTTACTTTCTCCACCCTTGCTGGGAGCCATGCTTACTCATGTTTTCTGACAAAGGTCCAGGCATGGGGCAGAGTCCTGAAAAGTCGGGAATCTCGTTAGCTGACTCCTGCTAGATTCTCCTCATTTGTTTATGGCTGTTTTCTACCATTGTTAAAATACACATTTAAAAGTAAAATTGCAAATGCTGTTTGATCAATTATTGAATAACCAATTTGATGGCAAATGGCACTCCGTGATACAAATATTACATTTTTTTATAAAATTAGTAATTCCCTGCCAAAAGGCATTTGAAGCAAGGGCTAAATAGAAAAATAAATTATTTTACTTTAAAGTTAAAGATAGCAGTTGGGTGGCAGACGTGTGCCATGCTCCAAGTGTAAGAAAATTCCTAATAAGCCAGGAGGCGCCATAGCTGCCTCCTGCTAAATTCTTCCTGTTTGTTTAGGGCTGACTCCCCTGGAGGTGACAATTGGTATGGTAGCTGTTAGAGTGTGCATTCAAGAATAAATCAACAACAATTTTGTGGCTGGTCGAGCTAATGACCATGGCAGCACAAATAATGCACTTGGAAATAGTCAGTATTTCAACTACTGATATGTCACGTATTAACTATTCTGGAAACCAAAAGCTATAACCATCTCAGGGCCTGCCTCAGATGAAATGTTTGTAGTTCCTTACAACAACAATCAGCAATCTTACAGAAAAAGGAATTTTCCCTTGATCTTAAAGTCAGATATGGAAACTAGGCTGACTAGGTAAGTAGAGAAGTAATAGGTAGAAAACTCTTTTGTTAGATTAGGAAAATTCCTCCCTTAATTGAGAGCTTGGAGCTAGGGAAAAGTCAATGCATCTTCCTTCCCCCAGGTAACTTCCTGTCCTTTGTTTCCCCCAGCCCTTAATTGTTCACCATGGTACACATAGAAAGGTTAGTTTCAGTCACATAAGTTTTTTACTAGTAATAGAATGACTGGTTGTTTAAGGTAAATGACTATTCTAAGAACACTTTTGTTTAGCAGCTGTGCCTTCTTTAAAATAAAGAGTAATAGGGCCTCCACTTGTGGCACAGCAGTTGAGCGCTGGGCTGCGAAGCTCCCCGCAGCCTCTGCAGCACCGGTTCATGCCCTGGCCACTGGCGAGGGTCCCACATGGCACAGCAGACCTCTCCTGTTGCACCTGCTGCTCCCCTCAGCAGTGTATTTCATCAGTCTGCCTGTTCTGCTCCCAGCTCTGGCTCTGGTGAATTCTCTCACCCTCCGGCGCTTCTGACTGTACCCAGTGCTTGTATAAATAAATAAATAAATCTTAAAAAAAAAAAGTACAAAAAAATTAAAAATTAAAAAATAAAACAAAGAATAATAAATGTTACGACCTCCAGCAGGAGGGCAAATAGACCCTTGGCTGTTGTTAAGAAAGGTGTGATAATTGTTATCTTCCTACTCTAATACATATGCTTATGTACTCTCATGTTTGCTTGTAATGTATAAATAAAGGGCTGCTGAGACCCTCAGCAGGATGATGTCTGCACCCTGATCAAGTGTTGGCCTCTCCTCACTCCCCCTCCTTAATCCCTCAGATTCGTCCCCGCTGACTCATCCTTACAGGAACCCCTGACACAACAGTTTGCCGATGCTGGCCTCTGGCACACCCTCAACTAGAATGTTAGCTCTATGAGGACAAAAGTTTTCTCTATTTGGTTTAACATTTAACCTCATTGGCATCTAATAGGTGCTTATTAGGTATTTACTGAGTTAATGAACTAATTAATGATAAGAATATGCATACTCTTTCAGTTTGTAGATTCATGTATTTTTTAGCATGCAAGCACCTTTTCATTTTATTATTCAATTTAATTCCAGTAAAACAATTATCCATCAATTAAAATCAATTTGGATCTTATTGGTTGATTGTTTTGAGGCTTTATTCTTAACATTCATTTACTCATCTCCCAGCTTAATAGCTATAAGCATTTAGCTATAGCTATTTCCACTATCTTTTTTTTTTTTCACTTAATGCTGAGGAATTTTGTTTTTATGGAGGTACCATTGGTCTATAATACTAGATTATGCATTTAAATCTGGAAATTCTCAGCTATTATTTCTTTCAATATTGCCTCTATTACCTCCATCTGTTATTTATATTATGTTGGAATCTCTGTGTTTCTGTCTCAATTTCTTTTATATATTTCTTAACTCTTGGCTTCTCTGTTGCTACATTCTATATAATTTGCTCAATTCTAGCTTTAAAATCATTATTTCTCTCTTCATCTGTCAACTGAGAGCTTTCATTTAATGAATTTTTTTTTCATTTTCTAGGATTTTACTTTAGTTCTACTTCAACATTTATCCATTATTTTTCAAATTGGCTGATTTATGCCTTAGTTTTATTTTTCTTTGATTTTGTAGTGCTTAGATAATTTTAAATCTACGTCACTATATCTTTCAGATTGTTTTATTCGTGTCTATTAAGTTCATCTGATAATTGTTTCACCTGTTGATTTCTCTCATTTATTCAATTGTGTGATTTTTGATACTTGATTGTATACTCATTTTAACTGCATTTGGGAGCCTTGGTGTTCTGGGAGTGCACTCTGGAAGTACAGAATGTTACGTCTACGTCTGACATTCTGCATTGTCTTTGTTGACTCTAGACTAGTTTTTCTCAACTTTTGGATTTGGCACTCATACTACATTGGTACTACTTTGACTAATATCCCACAACCACATGGAGTGCAATTCCGGGGTTCTGAGTTGTCATTCGTATTCACTTACCAGACACAGTCCCAAAAGGGTTATAAACTTCCTGCTGCCTCGCTGGAGAGGCAGGCCAGTTTTTTTGGCCCTTATTCCAGACTGGACAGATACTCTTGGCAAATACCTTCAGGCAAGTAGTTCATGCATAAAATGAGCTTGAATCTGAGACCATACTAATACCAATTCCCAGTAACCAGACTTTAAATTTGTTGTGCTGTTAATGTCTCCATACATTTCTTTTTTCAGTTTTCCACTCAAACTTTGAGCTTCCTCTTAGTTTCAGCACTTAGTCTTTTCTTGGCTTACTCTTTAGCAACATAGGCAATATTCTTTTATTGTCTTTTATCCAATATTTTCATAAATTTGAAATAGGTAGTAGTCACTCTATTTCATTTCAATTTGCCTTATTTGTGACTCCACCATTCTGAAAACAACATTTGTAATCTCAATCTTAATTGTGCAAGTTGTAAGAAAATGTATCCACTCTCCTAAAGTCTTTTACTGTTATAACCTGAGGTGATATATTCATTTTTGGCACAAAAATTTAAGACATAAATTGACAATATGATGCAGCTCTGAAAAAAGATCAAGCATGATGAGGAATCTGGAAATTGGATATTCTACTGTGATAGAAATGCATGCCCAGAAAAAGGCTGCGTCACCTGAAGAAGAGGAGACTGTAGGGCAGAGGAGCACCATCTCCAAATATTTAAAGGGCTCTCATGTAGATGGAGAATCATCAGCCTTTTTTCATGTAGTCATTCCAGAGAACAGACCCAAGATTGTGCAGCAGAGAGTTAGGACTCTGGTGAGCAAGCTCTGACACTGATTCATCATAGAACAACCGTGGACAAATCACTTCCCCTGCTATGGACTGCAAGGTACTCATCCATAAAATGAGGAACTGAAATCACATGAGTGCTGGGTTCCTCAGCTCTTAACAGATCTTGGTTCATTTCTCACCAAAGGTAATGAGCAGGACATTTCCAGCAATGAATCAGTAGGCACCCTTGATGAATGGTATTGACCTCCCTTATTTCATCCTCACTCAAAATAATGTATGGCTTTTCTTGCTCCACCAAGAATACATACCTCAGACCAAGTCTCCATAATCCCCTTTTGGCCCAGAAATTATAGCTTAGGAGTGAATGTATGGCAGAGTGGTGTAAGGGAAAGATTGTGGATTTTTTAGTGTCATACACACCTGAGTAGTGTGCCAAACTTGTCCTTAGCTGATTCTGTGTCTTTTAGCACCACTTAATTTTTCTAAATGTCAGTTTCTGCTTCCAAAAAGTGAAATAATAATATAATTAAATATAACATATAAATTATACATAATGTACAAATGAAATATAATATATACTTTAATGGTTTTATGGTTGTTTAAAAGTTCATACCATATTAAAATTGACACATACAAAACATTCAATAAATGTTAGTGAAATCAAAAAAACCACTGATGTACATTGACATAGGACTGAAGAGTGCCTGTGGCAATAGGATATATAAAATCCTCCCAACATGTTATACCATCAGACTTTCACATTGCAAAATATCTTCTGTACCCATCACAATTTGCATGCATTCCAAATGCTAATGATTAATTCTTTTCATGCCAGGTACAGTTATCTGAATTACTGCAACAGCATGGGCATCTCTAGAAAATTACCTTTTCCTTAAATTGTTAAACAATGTATAATCAAATCCCAGTCTCATAAATATTTGCTTTAGCAAAAACAATTGTTATCCCTCTTGGTAACCAGTGTGTCTTCCAACTTATCTTTGGCCTCCTTCATTATCTCTTAGCACGGAGGGATTCCAGCGTCTCGTATTTCTGCTATCACACCAGAGCTATACTTTATGAACTGACATCCAGCATCTATCTCCTGACATCTGAGAGGATTTTAACTTGGTAAACAATACAACTGGATTCATTAAAAGTTTCTGACACATAGCAACTTCATGAAAACTTCTTCTATTTTTATGATGAGATTTCTTTCCTGGGCTCTTTTGTCTTGAGGGTTTCAATTTGGTAAAGTTGTTGTTTCTAGGAAAAAAAGGAAATTAAAATCATCTACAGTCCCTAGAAATATACTAGCAACTGTAACAAAAGCATGAGGAATGAAATGAAGGTGTTAAAGAGAAACCAGCTGACTAATACAATGCAGTAATTCAATGGATTTGATCTTGGGTTCTAAAATTGGACCCGGTTCCATTTCAGACTCTACTACTTCATAGTTGCATGGCTTTCAACAAATTAAAAATACTCCTAAACTTCAATTTCTACATCTGCATAATGAGCACAAAACTCAGTCTTCAAATACACTGGGGATAGGGTGGGGAAGGATGCTGGACTCCAAACAATGGCAGAAAGTACACAAAAAATCTACCCTAGAAGCATCAAGAAAAAATTGGAAAAATAAAAAGGTAAAGATGGAAGTTCCTCATTCACAGGAGAGATGGATCCATGGAAATCTGCCTATGTTTTTTTACCCTCATACTAAAATGGACTAAAAAACAAAATCTCAGTCTATAAAGGACTTCTGGTAAGATGGCGGACTGGAAAGAAAGGATCCTTGAATCACTGCTTCCTTGAGGGACATAGAGGATTAGCAACAACCACCTCAGGATCTGAGCTGGGAAGTAAGGATCAGTGTCGCTACAGGGAAGAAGGAGAGATCATTGAAGAGAGTAGAAAAAACTAAGACAGAGTGAGTCAGGAATTGTTTCAGGACACCAAGAGAGTCACCCCCCTTCATACACTGAGTCTCTTGGAGCCCACAGCCCTGGCCCTGAGCAGATACAGACTTCTTGGTGAGAGGTTAGCTTGGCACCCGGAAAGGGCAACCTGGTGTCCTGTGACTGGTTTCAGCAGTAGGAAGAAGAACCTACCAATTCCACACACAGTTGTTTGTACCTAGTTTGGAGAGATGAGAGGCCCCTTTCTAGCCCCAACACAATCTCTAGTGCATCCCTGCTAGAGCAGGGGAATGTAGGTCTACTGCACAAAACACAGTCCTCTGAACAAGGGGCTCTTGGATTCATTTCAGTGGACAGCAAAGACAACTTCCTTTCTCCCTGGGAATTACCTCCAGGCTGCTCCCAGCTGAGGTGACCAGAAAGTATGAGTTTTCCCTGAAAGCACAACTGTAGAACAAAGGGCATCCTAGTTGCTTGTGGCAAGTGTGGGGATTCAGGAGTGGTACGTGCATTTTCCCAAGCTTATTTTGTCGGGTTTTTCTGAAACTCCCAGGAAGATAACAGCCTGCTGAGCCAGAACTGCCTGAGCTGACTTCAGGGACCAGGAGAATCACCCACCACTCCCCTGTGTGACCTTGCAGGAGGCTAGGACTAGCAGTCCAAGAGGCACCAGATAGTCCCCCTTTTTGGTTTGAGCAGTCCCCTGGACAGACTGAACATAATCTGCCGCTTCTTATAGTACCTTCCTGCACTACAGCCCACAATTTGTTCTCGACCCACCCCAGGTTACTCTTCCCTGCATAATTGAGTCTCAGGGGAAAGGTACTAAACACGAAAGCAACATAATTTAGAAATAGGCTGTAGTCAAAGGGATAGTTGGAGGTTGGGGGTTCTGGGACAGCACTGCTGGGGTAGTCTACCCTGACCCACACTGACCAGAGAATGATTGCAGATCACTCTCTCCACTCAACCAGTGATGGCATCAAAGGAGTCTTATGCCCTTGAAAATCTTCAACAACCTCCACACACCTGCATCTTCATCATATACAGTGAATGTTGCACACTTGACCTCCAGCCCAAGTTGAATCTTGATTAAGGATAAAGTTTCAACCTAAACATCAACAGAAGTCATAGCATTCAAAACAAACACCCTAGTCAATACCCCGCTAGGTGTTGGCAATTCTAACTCAAGACAACCACAGTAGGACTAGAAGGAAAGCAGCATCGCTTTTTCCATAGAGACAGTCTCAGAGCACCAAATTTTATAAGGAAGCATATAGAAGAATTTTACACCAGTCATTGGATCAAGACAAAGTCCTGGGGTGGGGGAGGGTATAGAGAAGGGGGAAATGCTTCAACAGATTTAATCAAACTTCTAGAAGAAGAATTTGGAGCAACAGTCTTACTCATGCTTATTGAAATTAGGAGGACAATGAATGAGCACATTGACAAATACAACAAGAACAGAGAAAATATGAAAAAGTCCCAAAAAGAAGTTACAGAGATAAGGAAAGCAATAGATTAAATGAAAAGTACAACAGCAGGGTTCACCAGTAGACTCAATGAAGTTTATGAATGAATTAGTGAAATGGAAGATAAAGAAGTGGAAATCATCTTAAAAGACCAGCAAAAAAAAAAAAATTAAGGAAAATGGAGACCACATAAGAGACTATTGGGACAGCATGAAGAGAAACTACATTCACATCCAAAGGATTCCAGGAGAAAAGAGATCAAAGGGGCAGAAATCTTGATTAAGGAAATTGTGGCTGAGAACTTTGCCAAACTAGGGAAGAAACAGGCATTCGGACCCAGAAAGTTCAAAAAATACTATACAAAATAAACCAAACAGATGCATACCAAGACATAATTAAATGGCAAAAATTAAAGATAAGAAGAGAATCCTAAAGGCAGCTAGAGAGAAGCAAAGAGTCACATATGAGGGGATCCTCATAAGATTATCAGATTTCTTCACAGAAACCTTTCAAGTCAGAAGGGTGGGGTATGACGTATTCAAAGTAGTTCTGAATGAAAAAAAAATCTCAAACTGAGAATCCTCTACTCAGCTAGGTTAACACTTAAAATGTAAGGAGTGATATAAAGCTTTTCAAAGAGGAGTTAAAGGAATTTATCTCTCTAAACAGCCTTGCAAGATGTATTAAAGGGTCTGTAATAAAACATAAAGCAACCTCACTTAGAAGCAATGTCTCCAACGTGGTTAATTTATAAGGGAGAAAAGTAAAAATGGCATCTTGTGGAATGAACCTAGGATTAAATTGCTTTCAATTTAAGATAGAGTATAAATATAAACCTTATATATAAATCACATGTTAAACTTAGGAAAAAAAGAATCTAGAGGAAAAAAGGATAAAAATGGAGTACAATTGCTACATAAAAGGCAGTTTTCAAAATACAATGGGAAAAAAAAACAAGAGAAGAATAAAAGGTTGGATACAAACGGTGAAAGCATCCAGACAATAAACAAAATGGCAATTAATAAATATATATCAATAACTTCTCTAGACATAAATGATTGTACTCACAATTAAAATCATGAAGTGGCCAGCTCATTCAGAAAACAAAATCCAGCTTTCTGCTGGCTCTAGAAGACGCATCTGAGCTCCAAATTAAATATAGACTCAAAGTCAAAGGTTGGCAAACAATACTACAAGCCAATAATACCCTAAAAAGACAGTGAGAGTCCTACTGATGTAAGATAAAATACACTTCCAACTAAAAAAGTAACAAGAGAGACAGGGATAGACATTACATAGTGATAAAAGAATCAACCCATCAGAAAGACATAACTCTCATCAACTTATATCCATCAAAGGAGCACCAAAATATCTAAAGCATCTAACAGACCTAAATGGAAACATCAACAGAAACACAATAACAGTAACGGACTTCAATACCCCACAGATCAAGCTGATAGAAAATTAGCTAGGAATTTAGGCCCAGACGGGGGATGTGACTCCCTCAAGATCCCACCAGGAACACTATTCCAAGATGAGAGCTCCAGAACCCAAACTCACACTAGTGTTCACTCCTCAGCATCTTTGAACAACATTGCAACATTGTAGCCAAAAAAGTCATAGACTGGAAATCCAAGATCTTGGTTTGATTCCTGGTTACTACACTTTCCAATTACCTGTCCTTCATCAATTGCTGGAAGTGAAGTTTAGCTGAGAAAGTTTTGTTAAAGTATCTAGTATGAAAACCCAGTAGGTGTTTAATATTAAATGCTTTTAGAATCTATGCAGAAACAATTACAAGGCTACATGCACTGTTACATTCATTGCAGTGCTATATGCAACAGCCAAATTATGGAAACAACCTATGTGCCCAAGGACAGTTGAGTGGACAAAGATAATGTGGTAATGTATACATAATGGAATACTGCTCAGAGGTAAAAAGAAAAGAAAAAGAAAGGAATCTTTCCATTGGCAATAATAGGGATGGAAATGGAGGGCATTATACGACATGAAATAAAATCAAAAAGAAAAAAACAAATAATGGATTATTTCACTCATCTGTGTAATATAGTTAAGCAAAACAAAGAAGCAGACATCAATAAACCAAAACACACACTAGAAATGCAACTGCAGCATTGAGGTTATTGGAGGGGGGCAGGTGAAGGTACGGAGTAAAGGGGGAGGGGTCCAAGGGACTGTCAGGTAAATTACAGGTATTTGGGTGGTGGGTGTGGTGTGATAACATGCAACTGAATTGATGTATATCTATACCTCTAAGTTATATGCAGTGTTATTAGCCAATGTTACAAGAAAATATAAAAAGTTACTAAAAAGAAAAAAAAAGAAAAAGAATCTCAAGAGAGTGTAGCAAGATTTGGTTGAAGTAAATCATGGAAGCATATTGTATAAAATATGGGGCATCATATAAATGGAAAGAATTGTTTTATTTTTCAATAGTAAAACAAAGACCTTTTTAGATAGTATTGTGATGGATAAGAGAAATTATTACTTTCCACCTCATGGACAGATTGTAGTACAATTTATACTCTTAAACTACCAATGCTTGCAATTCTGCATCCAAACTCTGAGTCTTGGACATAAGCATTCATCTTGACTTGAAAATAAATCCACTCTATCTAGACCAACAGGAAAGACAGTGCATAGCAAATATACTGAAATAAATAGCAGCAGTGTTGGCTATCACTTGCTGAATATAGCCAACTGAGCCAGCTTATCTCCAGAAATAATTCAAGATGCCCTTGAAATAAGAAAACACTACTTAAAATACTTCTAAATATTTTATGAATACCAAAATAAAATCCACTGATGCTTCAGTAAAGTCTTACTCTATAAAAGTTTCTGGAAAAAAAAATCTGCTAAAATACGTACTAACCTCTCATGAAAATGGTGGTTGGGAGGAAGAAATAACACCACAGATGCCTGAGTGCCAAGAATTCTGCCAGACATTTGACTTAAACTGTCTCATTCAATTCTCCCTTTAGCCCTACTATTCTCCCCACTTCAGAGAAGCTGTCAAATTTTCCTGGTCAAATCCAGGTCTATCTCTCTACTACAATCAACCCTCTAGAACACATACATTCTTACACTCACCATAGAACAATCCTTTTTAATAAGTCCAATTTAAAAGCCAATGCAGAGAGCTAAAGGCTCAGAAAATTCTTTGGGAGTTTAGGAGTTCGTTTGGATAATTGGACATTTTTTTCTTTCTCTATAATAAAAAAATAACTTCTTGCTATGTAAAGAAACTTACAAGTCATTTTTTTATGAATGGCAGCGAGACAAACTTTTCCCACCAGAGCATATCTTGAGGGAATCTAACCCAGAGTTCAGAGACCTGAAGTCTGGATGACAATGTAGCCATCTAAAAAGAGAAGTCTCTTTATTTATTGAGAAATTTCCAGGGAAGAAAACAATTCCAACAGCATCATCTCCAGGATGGGGTCATTGTAGAAGCTGGTGTTTCTGTGCCAAAATTAACAAGCCAGGAATAATGATCTATTGTTTCTAAGATCCTGTCTATAAAATGTGTATTAGCTACTTGCTGAAACCACCCCAAGCCATAAAAGAGGAGCAAAAAATAAACTGTATTTATTTACTGGTGAAATGCTTTTTAATCAAGTGATACCCTCTTGGGAATGGATATCCAGGAAGGAAAAGTCCCTAAAAGAGAAGCTGCACATGCAAAGACATTTCACAGCAATGCAATATAAACAGTGAAAAACAATGAAACATTGGAAACCACCTCCAAATCCATCAGTAGGGGAATTGTTAAATGAACTGTGGTACACCAAGCAGATGGCATTTTATGTACTGCTAAATATAGTATTTCTAAGCACTAAATAGTTAAAGGTAAAATGTGTAGGATACTTAGTATTTTAAGAAGAAAAACTTATGCCATGCAAAAATGATATGTGCATATAAGCAAAGAACAAAAGAAAACATTAAAATAACTATTTATTTGTAAGGGTAGCAGGATTACGTATTTCTGGTCTTCATTTTTTTTAATTTTAATACATATATTATAACTTATTTTAAGTAGAGTTCAGCATTATTTCAAACTGATTTTCTTTTAGATAAATAACAGAAAAAGATAAGACATTCACAATTTCTTTAGGGATTCAGTTTTTTTTTTTAATACACTGTATAAAAGTACTTGTGATTGATTTTTGTCATTCAATTCAATGCTGCCTAAATTTACAGATCTTTGTTCCAAAGTAATGTAGATAAATGAGGCTCACGTTAGACTACTGACATTCTCTTGGCACCTGAGCACATAAGCAATTTGGATGTTTAATGAACACACAAATCAGGCTTAGGAAAGCAAAAAACTTGGTATAAAAAGTCATGTCCCCTCTCTGCAGGGACTACCCCTGGGGCTGGGGAGAGCAAATATTATTTAAAAATAAACAATGATGTAAAAAATAAAAAAAAAAATTTAAAAAGTAAAACATTTTGTCAGGTATCCTCCTATATGCTCATAGAAGAGAAAATATACAGCACATAATTATTAGAGATATAAGAAATGTGGCACCAACTTGAAAGGTATAATACAGCAGACAATTAGACCATTGAGCACAGAATTACTCTTCTAACAGTACCCTAAATATTGTTTTTATTTGTTTCTTGTTTTCTGGAAGAAGTTGCAAGTTATTTTTCTGTTGGATGACCACAAGGGTCAATTTGGAGCAAATTTTAATTCATCAAGGAGTTTTCTAGAAGATTTCTTCTCATTATGGAAATAAAAGAAATAGAAAGCCCCCCCAAAAAAATACAGTAAAATAAAGAAAATCCATTCTTAAATTTCAAAAAAACAAAAAAGTCATGCCCCCATTCTTGTAACTTACATGGAAGCCTAGAGTTCTGGACTGAAAATTGAGAGACCAGGAATCTACTAAGCCCTGGTTCTGATCACACTGTCTTCCTGAACCATTTAACCCCGTGTGCCTGGGTGCTTATCTCTGGGATCGCGTGGCTCATCCCATCTCTTAAAGTGGGAACCAGGCTCCACTGATGTCACAGGGCTGTGAGGTCACAGAGATTCCCTGAGGAGCAAATACCTGCTCTGCAAAGCTCTGAGCAGGAATAGTTTTCCAGGTGTTGCTCAAATAATGAAAAGGTCCATTTACCGAATGCTGTTTACACGCCAGGCTCTGTGATCAGGACTTTGCATGCATCATTCATTTATTCTAAAAGTGCCTGGTGAGCACCCACTATGTAGCAGATGATGGTACATGTTAGGTATAGGGAATAGAAAACAATTCCCTGCCCCAGGGAACTGACACTTCTGTGACACAAGACAGACAATGAACAGCAAATGGATTTTCAAGGTACTTTATATGGCATGTTACAAGAGGGTAGAAAAAAAATAAAGATAGAATTGTGCAAAGAAGGGCCTAAATATGGAGGTGGTGGGCAAAAGAGATTTTTAGTGGGGTGGTCTGGGGTGTACATCGTCATGACAACTGAGCAATGACCCAAAACAGGAGGTGGTGCAGCATCGGAGAGCAGGGCATCCCAGACAAAGAAACAAAGGCTGGAACTTGCTTGACATGTTTGTCAAAAACTAAGGGGGGTTTTGTGACTGGAGTAGCATGCAGGGGAGAGAGAATAGTTGGAAATAAGGTCATGGGTGCCTTGGGGAAGGAAATTCTATGGGGACTCAAATTGAGGGGGTAGGGGGAAGCAAATATTGTTTAAAAATAAAAATAATAATAAAAATAAATAAGTTTTAGTTTCATTTTGTTAAGTTCTCCAAAATTTCTATAGATTTTTATTAAATTTGAACTGTTTAAATTGAAAAAAAAAAAATAAGGTGATTGGAAAAAAAAAATAATGAGGAGTCTGAACACATTTACCCTTGTTACATAGTCTTTGTGAGAGGAGCCATATGATCTACTTGCATTTTTAATACAATCACTCTGGTTAACACATGAAGAATAAAGTGAGGCAAGAGTGCAAACAGTGAGGAAGGTGTTACACAAACGGCAATGGTGGCCTGAAGCAGAGAGCAGCAGAGGGACTAGTGAGGAGTGGTCAGTCTGTTTATTTTTAAAATAAAGAAGCACATGAAGAACGTGTGAAGAAACAGGAAAAAATAAATGAACTAAACAAAAATAAACTTTTAGAAGATAAGACTAATTCGTGGTTACCAGAATGGAAGGGAGGGAGGGGCAGGTCAGTTGGAGTCAATCAGGAAAAAGGGGCCAATTGTGAGGTGAAGGATAGAATAAGACTTTCAGTGATGAAATTCATGTAGAATATACACATGTGGCTTTAAATGAGGCACACCTGGAACTTATATCATGTTATAATGCAATTTGCTGCCATAAAAACAAGAAATAGAAAACAGAATTAGCTGATGTGTTGGATGTAGGATGTAAGAGAAAGACAGACATCAAGAATGGCTGCATAATTTCTGGTCTGAGAGGCTGGAAGAATCAATTTGCCATCATTTGATGTGAGAACCACTGAGAATGGAATTGTTGGACTTGCTAACCCTCACCATAAACCTCTGATATAGGGAATTTTATTTGTCTTTTAAACAATTAAAAAAAACTCTTACTAATGAAAATGCTTACATTGTACAAAAATGAAAAATGATTTAAGAATTACATTTAAAAAATTTAAAAAGTAAAAAAAAAAACCCACAAAACAAAACTCTTACTGAAATGATTAAGTAACTTACCCAATGTCATACAACTTTTGAGAACCGAAGATCAGGATTTAAGCCTTGTTCTATCCGACCTCAAAGTCTAAGCACTTGTCCATACTGCATATTGCCACTTTGCAAAATGAAAGCCAGAAGCATCCAAATTTTGCCATTAGTGGCTACATGATCAGAATCCCACAACTGTCTCAACATATATTTTTTTGATAACAGTGGTAAATGCAAAGGGGTTTCTAATACCAGTCATGATGTGGATCAAATACCCAAGAAGCACAACTTGCTGGCACAACACCTGGCAGCAGTTGTTATATGGCTGGTTCCCATCTGAGATGCCTTTTAAAAATACAGATTGCTAGAGGATTGTGGGTGCCTTGGTGGTGGGTGTGGTGTGGTTACATACATCTCAAGAGGTGTGACCTAGGACCTCCCTGGTGGCGCAGAGGTTGGGCGCTGGGTTGCGAAGCTGCCTGCAGCCTCTGCAGCACCGGTTCGATCCCCGGCCACCGGTGAGGGTCCCACATGGCGCACAGACCTCTCCTGCTGCCCGCTGCTCCCCTCAGTGGTGTACTTTGGTCCTTCTGCCTGCTCTGCTCCCTGCTCTGGCTCTGGTGAATTCTCTCACCCTCCCGTGCTTCTGACTGTACCCAGTGCTTGTATAAATAAATGGATAAATCTTTAAAAAAAAAAATGTTCAATCTATTAAAAAAAAAAAAAAAGAGGTGTGACCTATATCCCTAAATCATGTACAGTGTTGAAACCAACATTACCACAATAAAAAAAAATACATATTTTTAAAATACAGATTGCAAGCCCTGACCCTCACCTACAGAGTCTCTTGGGTGAATCCAGAAATCTGTATTTTTACAATTGATTCTTCTGCAGTTGACTCTTCTGAGTCGTACAGGCACTGGTCAGGTCAAATGGTGCTTGACATCTTCTGAGTTCAGCAAGAGCATCACAGGACAGGTAGTTCGGTCCTATAAGCTTACAAGATTAGATGAGCAGCTGAGGTTAGAAAGTGTCACTATGCAAAATACAGCCCAGGAGTCACAGCAGCATCAGCCCCTGGGAGCTTTTAGAAACATAGACTCTCAAGCCCCACTCCAGACCGACTGAATCTGAGCTTGTTTTTTAACAAGATTACTAGCTGGTCCAAAGGCACCATCAAGCTTGAATGCAATGAAACATACTTAACAACAAATCCTAAGTGGAACCTACTCAGGGGTCAAGTTGGCTGCAGATGGCTCACTGGCCATTTGTAGGACAGCTGGCATTTTTATATGAATCGGTTGAGTGCTTTATGTACATCATCTTACCTACTCCTCACAACAACCTTACAAGATGGATGTTATTATCCCCACTTTACAGATGATAAAACCAAGACTAGGGGAGTGATAAGAACTCACCAAAAGCCATTCAATATTTAAGAAACAGTTGGGACTTGAACTCATCTCTCTATCCTCTATCATTTCACCGAAACATATTGCTTAAAAAGAAGAACAAGTTGAAGTCTCAGCCAAATTTAGGAAAACTCAATGGGCAATCAGGTGAAAATGGAGTTTGTTGTCCAAGAATGTCTGTAGTGGGATTCACAACAACATGTCATTGAATCAGGCTCATTCACCCGAGCCTTAATCACATTAGATACCTGCCATTACATTTTTATAAGACAGCAGGCCCTGCTACTCTCTGTTGCACTTATAGTGTGGCATCTGGCATCTGGCTGGCTCTTGGGATGGTGTAGGCCATGTTCTACATTAGTTGGGAGGCACCCTGTGCTATTTGTAGCAGTAACAACTCTGTAATGAGTAAACTATTCCCTTGGAGTAAACTGTTCACCCATGTGCAGTAAACAAAATCAGAACAGCTGCTGTGCCATTTATATACTATCAGGTGCCCTAGAATTTTTCAGGTAACAACAATAATCATAGAAACTTGTGTAGAGTGCCTTGGAGTCTGAAAATAGCACTGACATTGCCATTTTATTTGATTCTTGGAGCAATCTCAAGAGTTAAGATATCTCACTGATGAGAAAGCAGATTCAGAAAGTTTAGTGACTTTTCCATGACCACACGACTAGCAAATGGTCAAGCATTCAATCAAAGTCATGTCTTCTAATAGTAATTTCTCTGTTGTCAACCAAAGACACTAAGTGTGAATAGTTTAGGATTTAAGTCTCATGTAAAGAAATTAGAGAGGATTTTCAATGTGGAGATACTAGAAGTTGTAAGCCACTGAGAGGAATTTATTACTGCTGAACAAGAACCTAGACATGATGTTTTTAGGGGGAAAAAAACATTTGGTTTCCAATGGCCATGAGGACATGCATTTCCTCCCTAGCTCATAAGGTCTTCACAATGAGCTAATTCAACTAAACCGCAGTAAGAGTTCTACCACTGCCATGGTAACAAGTTGGATCACAGACTCCCTAGTTCTACTGAGGAGCATTCTCAGGAATTCTTCTTGACCCAAACCCCTTTGTTACAAGGAAAATTAAGTGCCCCCCCTTTTTTTCTTCACCTTCCCTCTAAATGTATAAAGCAGTTAATGTCATCCTCCTACCAGAGTGATTTCCAATGCACTGCCCAGCTCTTTAGGCCAATCACATTTTACTGTACAACTGTGAGGCCCCAAGTGATCCTGTGTAATCTGCTACTCTTCTGCTTGGTTATTCTCAGTAAATGTCATAGTTAACATCACATGTCATTAGTCATTGGTGGTGCAGGTTGCCATATAGCACATACAAAATGGCATCCAATGTAGTTTCCTTCCTTCCAGTGGTTTATAATTTTAGAAGTAGAGAAAGAATTTAGCTGGACTGCAGTAGGAAAGCCTCAGCGCTGAGGCACCAGCAGGTCTCCAATTAGATGGTCACGAACTGGATGGATGGTAAATTTCCACCCTCAGATATGGAAGTTGGAGAGCAGTAGAGCAGTAGAGCTTATACCTATGTTGAAAAGGTATAAGAGGGGCCTCCCTGGTGATGCAAGGGGTTAAGCACAACACTGTGAAGCTGTCTGCAGCCACTATAGCATGAGTTTGATCCCCGGCCTGCCAGAGAGCTACCCACATGGCGCAGCAGACCTCTCCTTACTAGCCTGCCGTTCCCCTCAGCAGTGTATTTCAGTCAGTCTGCCTGTTCTGTTCCCCACTCTGTCTCTGGCGAATCCTCTCACCCTGGCCTGTACCCCAGTTCTTGTATATGTAAATATTTTTTTTAAAAAAGGTATAAGAATGCTCAAAATTTAAGCATTTTTACTAACTTGGAAATGTTTTGAGCCATAAGGAGAAGCATAAGTAATTGATCCTGGGTGTAGAGCAGCAGGACCTCCCACCCCCTACAGGACTTTGACACAGCTAACATGGGTAATTGTCTGTTGACGGAAAGCAGAACAGACCCCCTTTATAATTCTGTTAGAGCCAAAGCAGCCAAGATCTTTAGATATGAAAGAGTTACTGTGTGGCACATCCAACAAATACCAAGGAAAACATCAGCAGAAACAACTGTTAGTGCACAAAACTAGAATTAGATTTTCTCCAGAAGGCATTCATAAGTCTCCAAGCCAGAGATATCTTAAGTGGTTTGAAAGTCAATTTGCATGAAGAAGTAGGCAATCAGCATTGCTCAGTTGAATGGCCTGCTGGGGAAGAAGGGCAGTAAATATATTATCTGGGTTGACTGAGAATAATGGTGAAAGCATTTCTGTCTTGAACTGGGTACCTGGTGGGACTTCATACAAACCCTATCCTGGGGAAAGGAGATTTCTCGGAAGTTGTGAACGTAATGAGAGAATGCAACTATGTAGCCACTCTGGGATAGCTGGCTCTACCGGCATGATTGCAGGAGACTCCGGAGCATTAAAGAGAACTCCAGGAAATATGGCTTTTTCCAGGGAATGTAGGATGATTTCATTTAGATCCCTCCCCCAAACTGGACAAACTGATCATGATATTGAATGTGCTCCTGTGTTCTGGAGGAAAGGGATAAAGAGTCTGTTTCATCCTCAAAGAGCAATAGTAGACCCACCCCACTGGTGAGTCAGAAGGTGAATATTTGCCTTCATTCTTATTAGAGACATCATCAAAGGTGTGTGTGATAGTTTCACTACAATCATTTTCTCCACATCATTTTCTCCACAGCATTTCCACTGCATTGGCTATAAGGCAATTCTGCCATAAAAGAGAAAAGAATGAAAAATAAAAGAGGGAGGTTCAAAAGGACATAAATGCAGCGTGACTTTTCCATTCATGTAGATTTACGGTGACACTGTGCAAAGAATTGATCTTTTGTGGATGTTACCTGAGCACTTGTCTTCCAAGTCATCCCTTTTTTCAAAGTATTGTACAACTTTTTTGTATTTTTCAGTATTCAAAATTCCTGGAAGTGTAAAATCAGAGATCCTAATCACATACTACAGTAGTAGACAAGAAAATAATAACATGTCAGTTTGTCAAGAGTCAGTTTCTTTTTTTGCCAAAGGAGAAATCAAACTAAACTGACCACTAATTAATATACATTAAATAATGCCCACCAAAGGTGGCTGATTGATTAATCGATGGAAAAATGAAACTGAACTGTCAACCAGTTAGTTGCATTTTTTTACAACAAAATTACCTAGTGGCCAGTTGGGAAGTGAGCATGTTTGCAGCAAAACTGCTAGCAGTGAAGTATCCGCAGTTAAACCACCTAGAACAGGTCAAAGTACCCCAGAGAACTCTCGCTGAGAATCCCAGGCACTGGCATGGAATGCAAATTCAGCACTATGTTGAAAATATAAATCTTTATCAAACCCACCAAAATCCTTATTTACCCCACTACTGAGCATTGCCTTAGAAACAACTGAACTTAATAGAGTTTGAGCCCTTCTGCAGGCTACTTTTCTCTAACAAGGCCACTTATTCAACTATCCCAGTTTGCATGAGACTAAGAAGTTTCCCAGACAAAATGCAAATCAAAACTACCATGAGAGTGGGCCTCCCCGGTGGCGCAGCAGTTGAGCGCTGGGTTGCGAAGCTGCCCGTGGCCTCTTCAGTGCCGGTTCGATCCCCGGCTGCTCCCTGGCCACCGGAGGAGGGTCCCACATGGCGTGCAGACCTCTCCTGCCGCCCGCTGCTCCCCTCAGCAGTGTACTTCGGTCCTTCTGCCTGCTCTGCTCCCCGCTCTGGCTCTGGTGAATTCTCTCACCCGCCCGCGCTTCTGACTGTGCCCAGTGCATGTATAAACAAAAACAAACAAATAAATAAATAAAACATGCCTCTATTAAAAAAAAAAACTACCATGAGATACCATCTTACACCAGTGAGAATGGCACATATTAAAAAAACTAGCAACAACAAATGTTGGCGAGGGTGTGGAGAAAAAGGAACTCTCCTGCACTGTTGGTGGGAGTGCAAACTGGTCCAACCACTATGGAGAGCTCTGTGGAGATTTCTGGACCTACTAAACATAGAGCTTCCATATGATCCAGCAATTCCACTCCTAGGTATTTACCCAAAGGACACAGAATCATTAATTCCAAAGGGCACCTGCACCCCTATGTTTATAGCAGCACTGTTTACAATAGCTAAGCTTTGGAAACAACCCAAATGCCCAAAAATAGATGACTGGATCAAGAAGATGTGGTACATATACACCATGGGAATATTACTCAGCATTCAAAAAAGATAAACACATGCAATTTGCAGCAACATGGATGGCGCTGGAAGGGATCATGCTCAGCGAAATAAGCCAGAAAGAAAAAGAAAAATACCGTATGGTCTCACTCATAGCAGGAATTTAGAAAACCTAAATAAGGGACCAGGAAAATGAATAACTATAAGAAAGTGAAAATCAAAATCAACAAAAAACTATGAACCAGAGACACTCTATGGGGGGTTGGGGGTGGGGAGGGGAGGGATTGGGGTCAAAATAAGGGGATTGCAATTGTATGGGGAATATAAAAATAAAATTTATTTTAAAAATTAAAAAAATAAAAAATAAATTAAAAAAAAGAAGTTTCCCAGACATAGGATTTTTGTGCTAAAACCTAAATAGCAGTTCCAGGCAAACCAGGATGGTTAGTGTAGGGAAAATGGAGTTAATCAGGCTTTTTTTGCCTCTCATTACTAGTCTATGGCTACCACCTGCGCTCTTGCTTGACTCCAAGGTTTCATTGCCCATGTGTGATATCATGTTGGTGCAAAAAAGTACTTTGGAGCACGAACACAGATCACACATGGACACCCGGGGCCGAGAAGCACCTATGATTATGGGCACCTGGGCCAAGAAGCCAGTGATCATGGGGCATATATACCTATAAATACAGACTCCAAAGCCAGAGATTATTACAAGAGAGAAGAGAAGCTGGAGAGGGAAGCCAGAGATCGAAGGGGCTGGGAGGCTCCCTGCCTGCTGGTCTGCCTATGTACATGGTCCAATGATTCAGCATTAAGGGCCTGTTGAATCTGCCAAGGGCTCCAAGATTCCTTATCCTTTTGCTCAATTCAACTGTGAACCTGCCCACCCTGGGCCTGGTTTGACCATACAGTTGGTCACCCTGTAAAGGCAGGAAAGGACACAGTGCAGGTTTTCTGATCCCAAGCAGACCAGGTAAAGGAGAAGTTCTGGAGCCCTCAGGGGTTTTGCAGGTCTTTTATTGGGGTTCCCCAGGCATATGGCAGGCAGGGGTGCTGGGGGCCTGCCAGCCTCCCGGCCCCCAGCAGGTCTTCACTCTATCTGGGCTCTCAAGCCTTCTCTCAGCTTCTGCTTCTCTTGCTTCTCTCTTGGCTTCTCTTTCGGCTTCTACTGGCATCCTCATGACGCCACCCTTAAAAGCCCAGTCTCAGCCCAGATGAATCCCATCTACCTATGCCCACACCCTATTCCAGGTGCCCACCATCAGGCATGCATTCAGGACCGCAAGGATCCATCATCTATCCTGATGGCGGGAGGGCAGAAAAGCCTGACATTTTTCCTTACCCTACAATCCCTTCGCACGATATTGTTCCTACTCATAGACTCCTATGAATCTGCTCATATCTATTCCACAGGCAGCCTAGTGGCAGCATGCACAGGACAGGTTCACTATGGATTCAGGCAGATGGATAAATACGAGTCCCAGAGCCCTCAGTAGATTTTACAGGCTTCAATGCTCTCTCAGGGAAGCAGGCCCACATGTACACCAGGCAGGGAAGCTGGCATGCAAGGAGGCAGGCATGGGCCAGGCAGGGGGGCTGGGAAGCAGGCAGGCCACCGATTCTCCCAGCCCCCACCCCCAAATCCTTACACTCTTTCTCTGGGCTCTCTCTGGTGTTCTCTCTTGAGCATCATCTCATGGCCTCGCCTCTTCTGTCGTCGTGCTACTCATCCTCTCACTTCCACCACTGCCGTGGCTTTTAGCGCCAACTCTAGGCTCAGGTGTACACACTTACCCATACGCACACCCATACTCCAGGTGTCCTCAATCAGAAGCCAGTGCCCCGCGCCCATGCGCCTTCTGCATCTACACGATCAAGGTCATGGACAATAGCCACAGAGGCTGATTAATTCATTTACCCTACAGGCAGCAATCAAGACCGAGTCAGTAGGTGAGAACAGCCAAGAAAGAGGCAGAAAGCTTTAGGTCTGTACAGAGAAAAGTCATGTGTTCTATGGACATGTATCTGACCACAGAGCCAGACTCTGGAGGACCAGCTCACACATGTTGATTGTTTGCAGCACTTGTGGTTTGTGGGCTGGGGATGAAAAGACGCTTCTACTCACATGGATGGCTGCAGGAACTCTCTTTATTTGAGGGGAGGGGCTCTCGCGCTCTCTCTCTCTCTCTCTCTCTCTCTCTCTCTCTCTCAGCCACTAGTTCATAAGCAGCTGCTCCCCCGTCACTAAGGGCATCATGGACTAGTTGCCACACAGAAATAATATGGGGGGGAATAGTTTGGGGTCCATAAAGGTCCCTGTAAAGAAGGAAGTCTGCTTTGACCTTTTCCCAGTTTCTTACTGAGACGGTGTCCTGCTGAAAGAACCATTTGCTGGTATTTGCGAGGACTGAGACTAGATCATGAAGGGTCTGAACCTTAATGGGAGTTCCATAATGTTTAAGCAGAAGTTGTAGGGCTCTAACAAGTTGGCCCTTGGACATGGTATTGCCCATGATGCCGATCACTTACCTAATCCTTACCTTACTGATTGATCGGTCCCTCAGAGGATCCCTCGTACTCGTGTCCCACGTTCGGGCGCCACTGCCGGTCCTGCCTGCAGGCCGACGGGGTTCAGGAACACGGCGGAGGGGCTGGGGATGAAAACACGCGTGCACTCTCTTGGCCGGAAGCAGTAACTCTCTTTATTCAAGGGGAGGGTCTCTCTCTCTCTCTCTCTCTCTCTCTCTCTCTCTCTCCTCTCTCCTCTCTCCTCTCCCTCTCTCTCTCTCTCTCTCTCTCTCTCTCTCTCTCTCTCTCTCTCTCTCTCTCTCTCTCAAAGCCTGCATCGCTTTACGTGGATTTGCAACATCCGGTTACTGTTGCATCAGCCTCCGCTTTGGGCGGAAGTGACTCATCTTTGGGCGGAAACGACCACCACCCCAGGTCCCCCTGCTGGTGTAATCCTGGTACTGACAGAGCATCATTTCAACTATTTTTTGCCTATATCCTGCCCATTCATTAAGAGGCTGTATCCACATCTTCTCCAGGGCCATCCATGATCACTCTTGCCCGTATTGACCTCAGTGACTCTGAGCTCATCTACACCTATAATCACTGCCACTCTGTAGGGTAAGTGGAAAAGTATCAGGCTTTTCCACCCTCCCGCCATTATCATTAATGATGGATCCCTGCAGACCTACATGCATGCCTGATGGCGGGCACTTGGAGCAGGGTGTGGACATGCATAGGTGGGCACACCTGGGCTGAGACTGGGCTTATAAGGGCGGCGTCATGGGGGCATCAGCAGAACAGAAAAGAGAGAGAGCAGAGATCCCTTAGGAGGTCATTTTCACAGATAGGGAAACTCAGACCCGGTATTATACAAGGTGGGCTGCTAGCACTTCTAGGTGAATAAACTTGAACAAAGCTCAAATTAATTCTCTGTAAAGGCAGGATAGGGCAAAGTGCAGGATCTCTATGACCCAAGCAGCCGGAGTAAAGGAAAAGTCCTGGAGCCCTCAGTGGCTTTTCAGGCTTTTATTGGGATTTACCAGGTACACGGCAGGCAGGGGTGCTGGGGGGCCGGGAGGCTGGCAGGCCTCCCAGCCCCCAGCAAGTCTTCACTCTGTCTGGGCTCTCTGGCCTTCTCTTGTGGCCTTGTTCTCTGCTCCTCTTGTGGTTCTGCTTCTCTTTTCTTCCTTTCTTTCACTCTCATTCTCTCTTCTGTTCTCTGCTCTTCCATTCGTTCTGCTGGCGTCCCCGTGACGCTGCCCTTATAAGCCCATTCTCTCAGCCCAGGTGTACCCTCTTACGCATGCCCACACCCCACTCCTGGTGCCCACCATCAGGCATGCATTCAGGACCACAGGGACCCATCATCAATGCTAATGGCGGGAGGGCAGAAAAGCCTGATACTTCTTATTTACCCTACAGTCTCTCATTCAACAATGAAAGAATACAACCCCTGAATCCATATAATCTATGGAATAATTGAATTTGCCTTACCTACTTCAAAAAGAGTTTTCTTCTTTTCACCATTAATTGAGCACCTACTAGGTGCCAGACTCCTGCCAGGGACTGAAAATATAACACTTAGCACTCAGACTGTGCCCTCAAAGAACTGATACTGATGGTGATCCAATGAGATGAGGAATGTATGGGGAAGTCAATGCTCAGAAAGAGGGGAAGTCAATGCTCAGAAAGACACATTCTGCCCCTATTTGCTCAACTAACAGGATAATGAAGTTCTGTTCTAAACACAATGCTACCTTCCCATAGCCTAGAATTTCATGCAACCCATTCCAGCCACCTCCAGTATGAGACTCAGGTGTTCTGGTCCTTGATTAGACTTCTGTGTAGCTTTATAGTTCAGTGTGGGGGTGGTATGGCCAAAGTTGGCTAACTAGTAAAGAAACAGAATGGCCAGCACTCAACAAATGCTGACCACATTAAATCAAACTAGATTTGATTTAATCTATTTAATCAAACTTCCAATCCACAACAAATCCTACAAA